TGAGCAAGGTTCTACTCAGCAGCGTTTGGCTATTGTGCTGCGTAAAAGGCATACAATAAGTCTAGTATCAGGAAAGTCTTAAATTCAAAGCAATCTGAGACAAATTAAAGCTAGTGCTACTAAAAGAGACAAGCGCATCCAACTTATATCGATAATTTCCCTTGTGGATCAATAAACTTCGTCTAAGTCACTGAAAACATTGGGAAATGTATCTGCTGCATCTGCTGTCAGAATGGGATCGACCAGCACATTTCTCCAAAAATGTTTGTGTAGTACGTTCAATAAGTTAAAACAGCAGTTGGATTTTTTGATTAAGCATTTTCTTTTTATTTAAGATGGTTACATTAGTCATTAGAAAGAACAAATATTGATCATTTCTTTTGTAAAACAACAACTACCATTCAGTGCTTTAGACTATGAGGTCGGCCCAATCATTCTACACTGGACAAGAAAAAACATTTAACCCCATGTGTGTGAACATAAATGGACGCAACTGCTAGGAATCATTTGCGGCAAGTGCTGTTGGGAAACCAGAGGCAGAGGTTTGTTTTTACTGCTTGGAGAAGTAAGCTTGGCTCTTTCCAACTTCTGGGATGATTGTATCACTGCCAGGTTTCCAGCCAGCAGGGCAGACTGTGAAGCACAATAAAAATAACTTACAATGAGCTTCAGAGGAGGGACCTTTAACATAATACAGGTCTAAGGGGACAAAGTACATAGGGTAATAGCCAGTAGGGTAAACTACTGCTGCAAGGCCACTCTCTCCCAGATAAAGAAATAACACTACCATAAAAATACTACAGCAAGTGAAGTCCTATTTCTCTATTGGTTCTTAGCAAACCTTTTGAGCAAATATAATTCTGTAAATATTTTTTATGTGTGGCTGAAGACATTAACACCAAAAAAGGACACAATTGCATTTAGAAATAGTCGGTACCAAATATTAAAAGTCCATATTTTTGACTCACCTTCTCCATGCTTATCGGTGTACTGAAAGGCCTGTACCAGACGCAGGGTTTCATCCACAGAGCGACCCACGGGCAAGTCATTGATGGTGATCTGTCTCAGAATGCCTTTATCATCAATAATGAACAGCCCCCTGAAAAATCATAGGAAGTTAAAATAAAAAAAACAATGCCTTACTCTTAGTGTCATTTGTGTAATCTCTCATGGTTTAACTCAAGAGAAACAACCATTAATTTTTGTCCGTGGTCTTACCTGTAGGAAATGCCGTCCTCCTCCTTGAGCACACCATAGTCTCTGGAAATGGATTTGGTAAGGTCTGCAAGAAGAGGGATTTTCATTTTACCCAGGCCTCCTTGTTTCCTTGGAGTGTTAGTCCTGTAACAATAAAAAAAAACAACAACATAGTTAGTATAATGCAGCAAAATTTATATATATATTTTTTTTTAACTTAATCCGTTCTTGAGAGCCAAATGTCCTTATCAAAACAATACAGAAACGCTCTGAGATACTGATAAATCAAATTGGGGAGTGGCTAGTTTGCTTTGCTTTAACTGCTCAGTAACAGCTACCATATGAAAATACAAAATTATACTCATGATTGTTTGATAAATTGTTCATTTGTTTATTGTATGGTTGTGAATCATTAAAATACTACATCTCTCTTCCTAATTGTGCAGTTGTTTATTTTCCAATGTAAAAAAAAAAAAAAGGCAAACTGTCTCTTGAAGCATGTATGACACGTACCAGGCAAGGTGAGAGAAGTGGGAGTCAACAGAAGCACCAATAACTTCACAGTTGTTTTGACGGAACTCATCTGCTCGGTCACTGAAAGCCACGATCTCAGTGGGACAAACAAAGGTGAAGTCCAGAGGGTAGAAAAAGAGCACCACGTATTTTCCTGAGGATAAAGAAAAGGTTTGTCAAACCCATATAAACTGAAATGATGAGAAAGACTGCACGCATCATACCTTTGTAATCTGACAACTTTATCTCTTTGAAGGATCCATCCATGTATAGTGCTTGTGACCTGAAAGTTGGGGGCAGCCTGGCCGATCTTAGCGTTTCCAGAAGCCATGGTGCTGGTGGTGGAAATAACTGGGAAAAGGCGGTACTTGTTATCTGACAGATCCTTATGTTGTTGACCGCAAGATAAAGAGACGCTGGGTGGAGCTTGATTAACTCGTTTTTCTGACAGACTAAGCCCCCACGGACAGTTACCACTAAAGTTAAAAAAAAAAAAACACTAACATTTCAAAGGCTAGATTTTCCACGCGTCCGTGTTTGCAGCTTCAGTTGAGCAAACCAGCTCGAGTCACATGCAAGTCATGGTCACTCAGCAAGAAACAATGCCGTTTAAGAGGCTTATGCGTGCACTGTTTTAAGCATATATGAAAGAGCTACTCACGATAAATACAACAATTTAATGTACCTTTTCAATTGTATTAAGTTGAATCCAGTTTACTTAAGTTGTTGCATTTTACCCACTGTACTGCACTTTTGTACAGTTCACATCAGCTCATTGTAGTCAAAAGCCGTCTTGCCTAAACAAATTTGTCTTGCAAGCTCTGTGTAGTTGGGGTAATTATTGGATCAAAAATGCCAGTAGACGAAGATAGGCCAGAGTAGTTTAGCCAGAAGAGAAATGAAGCTTTGGCTTTGTGACAATTCAGGCCCATTACCAGAAGAACAAGTGTCCCGCACAGCTCTGCTAGCTTTAAGTTAGCTTTGAACAATACACATGTGCATTTTTTTTCTTCGAATATTTTAAAATTGTGAACATAAGGAAAACCAAATTGGAGTTGCAGCCGTTGAACAGCTAAAGAAAACGCAAACATTTAAACTCACCTGTTTTTGAAGTAATGCCGTGTAAAAACGTTGGAGAGTGTAGAGTCTGGAGTAAGAGAACAGTAGAGAAGGGGCGGCCAAATTATGAGCAAGGCAAGGAGGCGTGACTGCAGCGATCACCGGAACTTAACTTAACAGCACTTTTCACAATAAAACATGTTATAGATATTATCTTTCTTTTTCAATTAAAATCTAAATAATTGAACATGTGACTCCACAATATGAGATTAAATAGTATATATCCATGGTGCATTGTGGATCTGGTATCTTTAAAGTTATTTTTTATGAAACTGTAAAATTGATCTGTTTTAATTTGAAAAGCGTATTTACCCACACATCCGCAGAAAAAATATTTTTCACCAAAGCAGTTTCGTGGAGCTTGCTCGTACTTAAATCTAACCCAGGGACGTAAAAAATATGGGAAGAAACAATAATAGAACAATGATTAAGAGAGTATGCTAAATCTTTGAGTTGACTGCTATAGCAGACTTAAATAGATCGTTGTTCCGGGTAAATGTTGCCAATGCTAACCCGTGGAACAAAACAAAAGGTCGAGAGAAAAAGCTGAGCAAAGGCCATCTGGTTTCGCAGTATTTTATGAATCGTAGGCTTTATTTTAATACAAGAAACCTTTTTAAACCTGCAGCATAAGTGCCAGCCATGGATTCGCAAGGTAAGAATCGTTGTGCACACTGAGAGATGTGATTTAAAACCTCATCTTATTATCATTTCATCTAAATGTAAGTCATACCCATTCGTTTTATTTATATCACGGAGCCAGCTAATCATCTTTTCTGTTGCTATCACTTTCTGTTAAGTTATTGTGAAAGTTTTGTTATTACATTGATGTCTCATGTGAACTGGCCCACAGCACCTGCTCAGCTCATCGTTTGTGAAGTGTGTGGCTCATTCTTTGACTCCCGACGGGGGCTCGCCAACCATGCCAGGGGGCACCTTCGCCAGCTCGGTGTATCTGAACCTGGTGCTGCTCCCATAGACCTTCTAAACCGGCTTATAGCAGAGAGAGATGGGGAATTTCCGAGTTTCAAAACACACTCAAGTTTTTCTGGGTTCAGCCCTAACCACCAAACATCACATCAGGATGCCAGTCCAGTATGTGCGGATGAGGGCACCATGTACAACGCAGGGCATAGAGTCTCGACAACCCCCCAAAGCACTTCTCTTCTGCCATTATCGTCATCGGCACTTAAGATGCTTGAGTCTAGATTAAGTGACTCTGGAAACTCTTCTACCTTAGAAACCTTAACCAAGCCACTATGGGCTCCACTGGCAACAGACGCTCCTATCACTTTAGGTTAGTCTGATCACTGGGGAGCTGTGTTAAATGTAACATCTAAAGGAGTTGAAGTTTAATGAAATTACATGCAGGTTAAAACTGGCTCAGTACTACATAGACATTTATTAAGGTGTGAACATCTTATTTACATCACAACAATTTAAATAAGTCCTCGTTTTATGTATGTACGGGTTTTTATAACTTTTTAAGATTAACACATTGCACAGTTTTGTTTATTTTGAGGGCAAATATTCTCTTGTCATCTTTGCTAATTTGTCTTTTGTCCTTTCTTCATTTTACATTGTCAGACACACTACTGAGGAACTCCACGTTTGTCATCTTTGTGGTTGCTGGTGTGAAACTCGCAAAGGCCTGTCAAGTCACGCCCGATCCCACCTTCGACAGTTGGGGATCCCAGACGGCGATGGCAACCCTATTGAGACCCTTTATCAACTGATGGAGGAGGAAGATCTCAAACCGGTCAACTGTGAAACAACTCCGGCTCTCCAGTCCAGCCCTTTGACCAAAGCCACCAAACGCCCGGCTGAAGTCTCCTCGCCAATGATGTCTACGCCAAACAAACAGCCAAAAAAGGGAAATTTTTATTGCGTTTTGTGTGGAGAGACATTTGAAAACCACAAAGGCCTGGCCATTCACTCACGCTATCATTTGCGACACTTTGGGGTGGATGACTTACTTGGGAAGGAGTCCTCAATTGAAGCTATCCAGGAGTTGATTGAGAGTGGTGTGTTGAAACCTCTTCCTAAAACTAACTCCCCAACACCAACTTCTCCAGTTCAGCCTCTGTCCCCAATTTCATCCAAGTTTTCCCCAATTTCATCCAAGTCTCCCTCAACAGCAAAAGGTGCACCAAAGGCTAAAAAAGGCTTTCGATTTGCAGTGGATCCATTTTTTAGAAAACCAAAGCCAGAAAACACAGAAAGAAGTATCTCAGATGTACAGATGGTTGGCAGAAACTCTCCTCTACCTGCTACAAAAATCTTTATTGCTGGTAAGTCTGGACTTTTTTCCAGAAAAGTTGTATCTTAAATGTATGCTTAAATTAGCTGTATTTTTACTCTAATAATGTATCATTTGTTGTTTCTTTTTTCTTTTAGATTCAGAAAAACCACCAACAATCCCTTGTGATTACTGCAGCCAGTTGTTTGACACGCGTAAAGCCCTTTCTTGTCACGTTCGTTGTCATTTAAGGGAGCTGGGAGTCGCGTTGCCTCTTAACACTTCTCCAATTGAACTTCTCAAAGAAATCATGATTCACAACAGCCAAATGAACTAGGTTAGGGAAAATGAGGAAGGGAATTAAAAACATACTGGAGGGGAAAGGCGTGAAATTATTTCTTTGAGAAGTTCAATTGGAGAAGTGTTAAGAGGCAACGCGACTCCCAGCTCCCTTAAATGACAACGAACGTGACAAGAAAGGGCTTTACGCGTGTCAAACAACTGGCTGCAGTAATCACAAGGGATTGTTGGTGGTTTTTCTGAATCTAAAAGAAAAAAGAAACAACAAATGATACATTATTAGAGTAAAAATACAGCTAATTTAAGCATACATTTAAGATACAACTTTTCTGGAAAAAAGTCCAGACTTACCAGCAATAAAGATTTTTGTAGCAGGTAGAGGAGAGTTTCTGCCAACCATCTGTACATCTGAGATACTTCTTTCTGTGTTTTCTGGCTTTGGTTTTCTAAAAAATGGATCCACTGCAAATCGAAAGCCTTTTTTAGCCTTTGGTGCACCTTTTGCTGTTGAGGGAGACTTGGATGAAATTGGGGAAAACTTGGATGAAATTGGGGACAGAGGCTGAACTGGAGAAGTTGGTGTTGGGGAGTTAGTTTTTAGGAAGAGGTTTCAACACACCACTCTCAATCAACTCCTGGATAGCTTCAATTGAGGACTCCTTCCCAAGTAAGTCATCCACCCCAAAGTGTCGCAAATGATAGCGTGAGTGAATGGCCAGGCCTTTGTGGTTTTCAAATGTCTCTCCACACAAAACGCAATAAAAATTTCCTTTTTTTGGCTGTTTGTTTGGCGTAGACATCATTGGCGAGGAGACTTCAGCCGGGCGTTTGGTGGCTTTGGTCAAAGGGCTGGACTGGAGAGCCGGAGTTGTTTCACAGTTGACCGGTTTGAGATCTTCCTCCTCCATCAGTTGATAAAGGGTCTCAATAGGGTTGCCATCGCCGTCTGGGATCCCCAACTGTCGAAGGTGGGATCGGGCGTGACTTGACAGGCCTTTGCGAGTTTCACACCAGCAACCACAAAGATGACAAACGTGGAGTTCCTCAGTAGTGTCTGACAATGTAAAATGAAGAAAGGACAAAAGACAAATTAGCAAAGATGACAAGAGAATATTTTGCCCTCAAAATAAACAAACTGTGCAATGTGTTAATCTTAAAAAGTTATAAAACCCGTACATACATAAAACGAGGACTTATTTAAATTGTTGTGATGTAAATAAGATGTTCACACCTTAATAAATGTCTATGTAGTACTGAGCCAGTTTTAACCTGCATGTAATTTCATTAAACTTCAACTCCTTTAGATGTTACATTTAACACAGCTCCCCAGTGATCAGACTAACCTAAAGTGATAGGAGCGTCTGTTGCCAGTGGAGCCCATAGTGGCTTGGTTAAGGTTTCTAAGGTAGAAGAGTTTCCAGAGTCACTTAATCTAGACTCAAGCATCTTAAGTGCCGATGACGATAATGGCAGAAGAGAAGTGCTTTGGGGGGTTGTCGAGACTCTATGCCCTGCGTTGTACATGGTGCCCTCATCCGCACATACTGGACTGGCATCCTGATGTGATGTTTGGTGGTTAGGGCTGAACCCAGAAAAACTTGAGTGTGTTTTGAAACTCGGAAATTCCCCATCTCTCTCTGCTATAAGCCGGTTTAGAAGGTCTATGGGAGCAGCACCAGGTTCAGATACACCGAGCTGGCGAAGGTGCCCCCTGGCATGGTTGGCGAGCCCCCGTCGGGAGTCAAAGAATGAGCCACACACTTCACAAACGATGAGCTGAGCAGGTGCTGTGGGCCAGTTCACATGAGACATCAATGTAATAACAAAACTTTCACAATAACTTAACAGAAAGTGATAGCAACAGAAAAGATGATTAGCTGGCTCCGTGATATAAATAAAACGAATGGGTATGACTTACATTTAGATGAAATGATAATAAGATGAGGTTTAAATCACATCTCTCAGTGTGCACAACGATTCTTACCTTGCGAATCCATGGCTGGCACTTATGCTGCAGGTTTAAAAAAGGTTTCTTGTATTAAAATAAAGCCTACGATTCATAAAATACTGCGAAACCAGATGGCCTTTGCTCAGCTTTTTTCTCTCGACCTTTTGTTTTGTTCCACGGGTTAGCATTGGCAACATTTACCCGGAACAACGATCTATTTAAGTCTGCTATAGCAGTCAACTCAAAGATTTAGCATACTCTCTTAATCATTGTTCTATTATTGTTTCTTCCCATATTTTTTTACGTCCCTGGGTTAGATTTAAGTACGAGCAAGCTCCACGAAACTGCTTTGGTGAAAAATATTTTTTCTGCGGATGTGTGGGTAAATACGCTTTTCAAATTAAAACAGATCAATTTTACAGTTTCATAAAAAATAACTTTAAAGATACCAGATCCACAATGCACCATGGATATATACTATTTAATCTCATATTGTGGAGTCACATGTTCAATTATTTAGATTTTAATTGAAAAAGAAAGATAATATCTATAACATGTTTTATTGTGAAAAGTGCTGTTAAGTTAAGTTCCGGTGATCGCTGCAGTCACGCCTCCTTGCCTTGCTCATAATTTGGCCGCCCCTTCTCTACTGTTCTCTGACTCCAGACTCTACACTCTCCAACGTTTTTACACGGCATTACTTCAAAAACAGGTGAGTTTAAATGTTTGCGTTTTCTTTAGCTGTTCAACGGCTGCAACTCCAATTTGGTTTTCCTTATGTTCACAATTTAAAATATTCGAAGAAAAAAAATGCACATGTGTATTGTTCAAAGCTAACTTAAAGCTAGCAGAGCTGTGCGGACACTTGTTCTTCTGGTAATGGGCCTGAATTGTCACAAAGCCAAAGCTTCATTTCTCTTCTGGCTAAACTACTCTGGCCTATCTTCGTCTACTGGCATTTTTGATCCAATAATTACCCCCAACTACACAGAGCTTGCAAGACAAATTTGTTTAGGCAAGACGGCTTTTGACTACAATGAGCTGATGTGAACTGTACAAAAGTGCAGTACAGTGGGTAAAATGCAACAACTTAAGTAAACTGGATTCAACTTAATACAATTGAAAAGGTACATTAAATTGTTGTATTTATCGTGAGTAGCTCTTTCATATATGCTTAAAACAGTGCACGCATAAGCCTCTTAAACGGCATTGTTTCTTGCTGAGTGACCATGACTTGCATGTGACTCGAGCTGGTTTGCTCAACTGAAGCTGCAAACACGGACGCGTGGAAAATCTAGCCTTTGAAATGTTAGTGTTTTTTTTTTTTTTTTTAACTTTAGTGGTAACTGTCCGTGGGGGCTTAGTCTGTCAGAAAAACGAGTTAATCAAGCTCCACCCAGCGTCTCTTTATCTTGCGGTCAACAACATAAGGATCTGTCAGATAACAAGTACCGCCTTTTCCCAGTTATTTCCACCACCAGCACCATGGCTTCTGGAAACGCTAAGATCGGCCAGGCTGCCCCCAACTTTCAGGTCACAGCACTATACATGGATGGATCCTTCAAAGAGATAAAGTTGTCAGATTACAAAGGTATGATGCGTGCAGTCTTTCTCATCATTTCAGTTTATATGGGTTTGACAAACCTTTTCTTTATCCTCAGGAAAATACGTGGTGCTCTTTTTTCTACCCTCTGGACTTCACCTTTGTTTGTCCCACTGAGATCGTGGCTTTCAGTGACCGAGCAGATGAGTTCCGTCAAAACAACTGTGAAGTTATTGGTGCTTCTGTTGACTCCCACTTCTCTCACCTTGCCTGGTACGTGTCATACATGCTTCAAGAGACAGTTTGCCTTTTTTTTTTTTTTTTACATTGGAAAATAAACAACTGCACAATTAGGAAGAGAGATGTAGTATTTTAATGATTCACAACCATACAATAAACAAATGAACAATTTATCAAACAATCATGAGTATAATTTTGTATTTTCATATGGTAGCTGTTACTGAGCAGTTAAAGCAAAGCAAACTAGCCACTCCCCAATTTGATTTATCAGTATCTCAGAGCGTTTCTGTATTGTTTTGATAAGGACATTTGGCTCTCAAGAACGGATTAAGTTAAAAAAAAATATATATATAAATTTTGCTGCATTATACTAACTATGTTGTTGTTTTTTTTTTATTGTTACAGGACTAACACTCCAAGGAAACAAGGAGGCCTGGGTAAAATGAAAATCCCTCTTCTTGCAGACCTTACCAAATCCATTTCCAGAGACTATGGTGTGCTCAAGGAGGAGGACGGCATTTCCTACAGGTAAGACCACGGACAAAAATTAATGGTTGTTTCTCTTGAGTTAAACCATGAGAGATTACACAAATGACACTAAGAGTAAGGCATTGTTTTTTTTATTTTAACTTCCTATGATTTTTCAGGGGGCTGTTCATTATTGATGATAAAGGCATTCTGAGACAGATCACCATCAATGACTTGCCCGTGGGTCGCTCTGTGGATGAAACCCTGCGTCTGGTACAGGCCTTTCAGTACACCGATAAGCATGGAGAAGGTGAGTCAAAAATATGGACTTTTAATATTTGGTACCGACTATTTCTAAATGCAATTGTGTCCTTGGTGTTAATGTCTTCAGCCACACATAAAAAATATTTACAGAATTATATTTGCTCAAAAGGTTTGCTAAGAACCAATAGAGAAATAGGACTTCACTTGCTGTAGTATTTTTATGGTAGTGTTATTTCTTTATCTGGGAGAGAGTGGCCTTGCAGCAGTAGTTTACCCTACTGGCTATTACCCTATGTACTTTGTCCCCTTAGACCTGTATTATGTTAAAGGTCCCTCCTCTGAAGCTCATTGTAAGTTATTTTTATTGTGCTTCACAGTCTGCCCTGCTGGCTGGAAACCTGGCAGTGATACAATCATCCCAGAAGTTGGAAAGAGCCAAGCTTACTTCTCCAAGCAGTAAAAACAAACCTCTGCCTCTGGTTTCCCAACAGCACTTGCCGCAAATGATTCCTAGCAGTTGCGTCCATTTATGTTCACACACATGGGGTTAAATGTTTTTTCTTGTCCAGTGTAGAATGATTGGGCCGACCTCATAGTCTAAAGCACTGAATGGTAGTTGTTGTTTTACAAAAGAAATGATCAATATTTGTTCTTTCTAATGACTAATGTAACCATCTTAAATAAAAAGAAAATGCTTAATAAAAAAATCCAACTGCTGTTTTAACTTATTGAACGTACTACACATAACATTTTTGGAGAAATGTGCTGGTCCGATCCCAATTCTGACAGCTAGATGGCAGCAGATACATTTCCCAATGTTTTCAAGTTGACTTAGACGAAGTTTATTGATCCACAAGGGAAATTATCGATATAAGTTGGATGCGCTTGTCTCTTTTAGTAGCACTAGCTTTAATTTGTGCTCAGATTTGCTTTGAATTTAAGACTTTCCTGATACTAGACTTATTGTATGCCTTTGACGCAGCACAATAGCCAAACGCTGCTGAGTAGAACCTTGCTCAGCCTTAATGACTTTCTCAATGACAGTGTTGGGGTGACCACATTTTGCGAGTCCAGTATGGTTATGGACTGTCCACACAGGTAATTAAAATAATTACCACTCACTTGCTTTACATGAATTTTAGCCCGTCACAAATTATATTTCAGATCAACTACAAAAAGTTGTTGTGTAACCCCTTTCTGGCCTAACGCGCTTGACTTGTTTTGGGAAAATGAAAGCAACAAGGGAAACTCCCTTCGTTAGAATAATCCACTCATTGACAAACATCTACTTCACACGCGCTGATACGAAAGGGAGAAACGCAGCTTTTCTGACTGGCAATGTAGGAGGGAGTTCCCGGAAATATTTTTTTAGGTGACGTTTACCGGCAAAGTTGACCAAATATGGTACGACGCACGTACGTCAATGGGAAACTGTACTACGCCGGTACGCATCCGACGTCAAACTATTGCCTGTCCCAGTGCCGTAAACTTTTGATGAGAAACGTAGACAAGCCTTATTCGAGAAAATGACATGTGGGGTTATTTTAACCAGCTGATCTAGCCTACAAGATAAAGAACCAAAAACGAGATGGGGTTTCATATTTTAATTTACTTAAATATATACTGTACAAGTAAAAAATACAGGTTTATCAGGATCAACCTAATAAACACAAATAAGTTACATCAAGGATCATCACAAATAAAGTAAAAATGTAAACAAGCAATGACACGACACTTTCAAAAACGCTCAAAAATGCCCTAAGTGTTTTAGTCTTGGATTTTTGGCTGAGGTCCAAGAGCCGCATAGTCCAGTCCAGACAGCAAAGTGCCTGCTGTGTGCCGGCAGTGCAGTTATTGTCCAGTGTTTCTAAAAGTGCATTTCAGTTCTTAATAAGACTTCACTTTTGGTGCCAGCATAAGTTGGCAGCCACTGCTCACGTGCGTCATGACTTTTTGTTTGAGTTGGGCTACCTGCTCGCGCAGCACAGACGCAGTGTTTGACAGTCCAGCGTTGTCCGTTTTCAGGACTTTCACTTTTTCTTCCAGACGAGCAATACGTTCCAGTTTTCGTCTCCGGCATTTGGAGGCTGCCAGTCGGTTCCTCAGACGCTTGCGCTCGGCTTTGATGCGCTCCTGGTTCTCCAAATCAATAGGAGACATCGGAGGAGAGCTGTTGTCGCTACTGTGCATGTCCGGCACTGTCTGGGGCTCCTCTTTCAAGCCACAAAAGCGCTGCGCGTGGAGGGGCTGCTGGAAGTGGTGAGAGCCGTGCGCAGCAGCCTGGGGGTACTGGTGGTGCGGCAGGTAGCTAATGGTCGTGGACGGATAACTAGGGGCAGAGGTCAGGTTGGTGCAACTGTTAAGAGTGGTGTACTCCAGTGGCTCAGGCTGCATTGAGGGACAGGACACGCCGCCGGAGCCCAGAGACACGTTTGGGGGTGCCATCTGGTTCATCTTATGCAGGTCGTCCAGCGCAGCGCCTTCACAAAGCCGTCCGCGAAGCCCTCCTGCTCCTCTGTGATGCCGCGGTTGTAGAGGTACTGCGCGGGCGTAGGTGTTGTAGTGATAACCCCGTTGCTGTTCTGGATGATGAGTCGCTCTAGTTCAGGAGATGCTAGTTTCAGAGAGCCCACGTCCCCCGCCGAATAGAAATCTCCGTGTTGTGTCTTGAAGTTTGAGTTCCGATATGACTCGGAGAAGTTCAAGTTCATATTCTGTTTTAGCAGCTTGTAGTCTGGCAGTGCCGCGCCTGGATGGCCATAAGCAGAAAGAAACGAGTCGTCATAAAATGGTTGTTCCATTATTGTGGACATAATTCAAAATCAGACAGTCAAATACAAGAGAGCGCTGCAATGAGGCTGCTAGACACCGAGCCTTCAGTGTCCCAAATGACTCAATTTCCAAAGTCTCTCAGTTTTAACACACTGAAGAAAACTACCAAAAACAGAGAAAAAACTTCCAAATAGGCTAGTGGAACAGTAATGTACCAAGCGTCGATATATACCTTTAGACTGAGGTAAAGCGGAGTCCAATGATTTAATTCAGCTGTTTTCATTCCACTTGTGAAGCTGACAATTCTCCCTTTAGTTCGTTCCTGCTTGGTAATGAGCCTCTCGTGCGCTCCTCCTCCTCAGTATTTACACGGTGAAGCTCCGAAAGCGCACGAGCCCCGGGCGACAGCGCTGTGATTGGCTCGTTCCTTCACTCTCCCCCGCCTCCCCAGAGTGAATGACGTTGTTGCCAGGAACAAGGAGCGTAAAACAAGACGGGGCCCATTCGCTGTTGAAGAAACTTGCTCAGGTAAAGTCTGTTTCATTCATTTCAGTCCCTCAAGCATAATCTGCACTGTTTTCCTGGACTCAAAATCCTTATATAGCTCTTATTACAACCTATTAAACGCTACCATGTCAACTCCAAGAGTTCTTAAACTTACCCAATTCTATCCCGACCATTCCCAGGAGTAGTAATGATATGCTGCAGCTGCAGCTGAGTCACGCGTTTGAAACTGATATCGGACAGTCCTTATTTTGGGTATATCCTGGCGCACCGGTTCCTCCCAGAGAGGAGCGGGAAGCCAATCCTCCCGTGGCCCTGTTCCAAGTCCGCGAGCTGTGGGAGGCGGAGGAGCTGGGTTCATCCTCCTTCACCTCGTGGGCACATGTTAATTCTGGGCGTGTGGCCTGAAAAATGCATGAAGTGTCTGGTGTCCTCAGGGTGTAAAGTTGACAAAACGTTATTAAAACGACACGTGTGATCTAATTATTAGTGATGGAAAATGCTACTGGTCTGGAAGAGGTGTTATATTTTTATTCAGTGGCAGGTCTGTAAAGTCAGAACTTACAATTTTCATCCCATTATTCATTCAAAATGGCAAGATAATGAAAAAGTATTTTTTTTGTTCAATTATGGATTATATTACATCTGTAAAAATTCAAAATCTCATAAGAACTCAAATAAATGTTGTATTTCGTTATCAAATCATTTGGCATTTTGGTATGTCCTTTATTTGTTGGAACTGCAGGTTGCACTATGGTCAGCAGCCTCGGACTGTGTCCTCACTGGAATCTCCTGTTGAAATGAAACTGGAGCATATTTAGGAAAACACAGTGAAGTATCATTGGCCTGTTCTCATTTCACAATGACCTCATCCATGCAGTAAAGGTCAGTGACTGTGGTTTTGACATAATGCAAATGGGTGGTTTCCCCCTAGAACACATGTATGTATACATTAAAATGTATACATGAGCTATTTACATATTAAGAAAAAGATGAGATCAACAGAACTGTTCATTTTAACGTAAATACAGCCCCAGTTCAGACAATGGAGTTGCTCCAACAAATAAAGCAAACATTTCTTGCTCTCAGTGGTTAGATTTGAACTTTTGAAAAGGCGAGCAGACAATGTATAAAGTTGGTGTAGAAATATATGAATTAAATGATTGATTGATCGACTGATTGAAATTAAAGGTCTACAAATTGCCCATTATCACCAGCAAAATAAGAGGCTGTTTGTATGACCATTAATGGATTATTCTTTACAGGAATTATATGATTATGTACTTGGATTTGTTACTGAGCTTTAGTTGATATTGCCCTCCTGACCTTTGTTACATTTGTTTATACTTTCAGTTACTTTTGAATAAATTCATAAATTACATGTTTGGGGCCACAGATTTCCCAAAGCAGCACCTCATACATACGATTGTGTCAGTTTGTTTGAGCGCTGGTGTGATTCAGAGTGACAGGCTGCACGGAGGAGGCTGAGAAACAAAAGCTACTCTGGCACAAATGTGAAGAAACAACACAAAAGTTACAAAGGGCAAATACTGCAAAATAGTGGACTGGGCATTTCTAGATTGCAATTTATTAATGTATCCTAATTTTGGCTTAATTTACCACTTAATATTACAGTGAAAAATACTGGTAAGCAAAGAAATGTCAGTTGTAAAATTTTCACCTTAATAGTAGATAGTAGTGTTAAAAGTACATAGTCTTTGTATCCCCACGGGCCATGCAGACTGAAGACCATAATAAAATCCTTAATATTACCTTATACCTAATTTATTAGAAATACATTAATATCTATTTTTTATCAATATCATTTAGAAATGCGTCATGGTCTACAATGATGTGTACAAGATACTATCTGGACATCTGGAGTATACTTGGTCACAAAAATATGGCGTATTTGAACTTTGAAGAATGGCTCATCATAATAATTAATAAAGGCTATATTTAGAGTGCCTTACAAAATATTTACAAATAAGTCATACATAGAAGCCAAATGCTGACCTCCAATACTACTAATATTTTATCATCTTCACTTCTGTACACTTGCTAATAGTAATTCATGACTATTACTGAGGTCTATGTAATTGTCATTTTCAAGCTTTCCATTTGTCTATTCACTCACTGCAGTGACATTTGGAGGAGAGCATTTTACCCCAAAAGTTTAACTTTATTATATAATTAAATATACAAGCAGGCAGCCTACTAGCCTACTGTAATGATCCTTGAACATATACCACCATGACAAACGTTTAACACTCTCTCATTTATATTCATATTTAGTTTATTTTTATTTTTTCTTGCTTTGTTTACTACTTTCTACATTTTAATACATACAGAAGACATCAAGCATGAAGCAAGATATACGGAATTATGTTTTCCTCAAAGTAGCCACCTTTTGCTATGTTGACAGGACTCTCATTGGTCTTTTTGATGATGTCTCCTGAAATGGTTTTCACTTCACACAGCTGTACCTTATCAGGTTTACCAAAAGTGAAAACCAGGGTTCAAAGCAAACAGTGCCTTGCTATTTATTCATTTATTTATTTATTGTTAATTTGAAACCCTGCTATTTTTTAGTTTATTTTTTGTTTAGTACATTCCATATGTATTCTTTTTTAGTTTTCTTGCCTTCAATGAGAATCTACAATGCAAATA